AATTGGAACTAGCCATAATTAACATTTCAGCCACAATGAAAGCTATGGGAAATGCCACTGCAAATTCAATTCAGGCTCTACAAAAAAAAATCTCCCAGATCTCACAAGTAACTATACAACACCGCATAGCCCTAAATTACCTATTGGTATCCCAGGAAGGAGTAGGTGCCTTAGTGAACTCCACCTGTTGTGTCTATGTCAATCAGGACATGCAAATAGAAACCGACATTCGTAAAATTCAAAATCAGTTAAGGGTCCTACATCAAGTGGCCTCAAAAAATACGAACTGGGGTCTAAAAAAAATGTGGTCTTGGCTAACCTTCTGGCTCCCAGATTTTGGGGCCCTTGGCAAAAAAACCCTGTATGCAATATTGTTTGTCTTAACAGTTCTAACAATGCTTTTATGTCTTAGTGCAACTGATCCTCTGCTGCGTAAAAGCCAGCAAAAAAAGCTTTAGCAAGGCAAGAAAACACATGGCAAAGTCTAAAATAATGGTGTCAGAAAAGTGTGAGCAAATTGAAAGAAAACATAAAAGGCTGCATAATAAAATAAAGGGACTCATGAGAATAAAAGTTTAAGGCTAAAGTGAGACTAAATAGTCTCAAAGGGGGGACTGTGGAATAAAAAAAAAAAAAGCCTTAAACTTTGATCATACGAGTTATAAGATGACATAACCGCTTTGTGGGGAATTGCTGGCTCTGCACAGTAAAACAAATAAGGGAAAGTGTTTGTTCTTTGTAACTGCTCTGCAACTGCTTCACTCACTGTGGCCTTAAAAATAGCAAAAAATTATGTACAACTCTGATTTCCAGGTGCAAGAAGGGGGTGTTAGTTCTCCCTTTGTCCTCCCGCATGGTACCCATCCTGATAACAGCAAAGCAGTATGAGCTAGTAAACTCCACTATATAATCACGTAAGTTGTAAGCGACTGTTAAAAAGTATATAAGCCTCCTAATTTTGCTTTTGGGAGGGAACCCCTTCCAAGTGCTTGGGAAATCCATGTCACTTTGAAGTCCTCCCTACAGCTGTAGTTTCATTTGAATAAAAGCTTTTGCTGACCTGACCCAAAAGTATGCTGCGTGTGTTTCCACGACACCCCTTTGTGCAGCCACGAAGGAACCAGGAGGAAGTGCCAGCAGGCTGGGTTGGAAGGGGGTTTCTATGCTGTGGGACATGCTGCTGAGTCAGGGTTTTGGCAAGCCATGACAGGATTGGGACCTGAGGGTGCTGGAAGGGAGACCCAGCATCTGGTCACACTGCCCTGGGCCTCTTCATACACTTGAACTGCTGCTGGGCGGTGGATTCACAACCCAGCCCCACTCAAGCCAACGTTCCCCTGCTTTATGCAGGGTTGCTTGCACTCGTGGGGTGCTCAGGGCCTGCAGGATTGACCACTCAAGGGAGAAGTCAGCCTGCTTCCTCGTTATTCATCATTTCTCCATCTGACTTCTTCAGCCGGGCCACATAATCTTGCTCTACACCTCCTCGTCTGCACTCGCCTGCCCTGCGCAGCTCAGCCAGGATGAAGGGGGCTCTCGTACCCGTCCTGCTCTCCCTCCTTCTGTTACTCCAAGCTGCAGGTGAGTGACAAGGGGCTGCTCTTTCCAAAGTGCAGCCTGAGGCAAGCTCAGGCATGGGAGAGGGAGGGTCTTTAGAGGGGCCACATAATCTTGCTCTACACCTCCTCGTCTGCACTCGCCTGCCCTGCGCAGCTCAGCCAGGATGAAGGGGGCTCTCGTACCCGTCCTGCTCTCCCTCCTTCTGTTACTCCAAGCTGCAGGTGAGTGACAAGGGGCTGCTCTTTCCAAAGTGCAGCCTGAGGCAAGCTCAGGCATGGGAGAGGGAGGGTCTTTAGAGCAGAAACTGTTTTTGGGAGCCGTGTTTGTGCCGTGCTTTGCAGAGGGGAGCACTGGGCTAGGATGAGGAATATCAAAAAGCAGCAGGAGCTTCCAGGGAGATGCATCATTTCTACTTGTTCTGTAGAAAATGCAAGACACGGCTTGCTTCTAAGTGCCCTTTGCACCTGAGAGAAGTGTGCGGCAGCCTGTATTTCTCTCAGGAGCTGAGGAGTCTGCGAACCCTTCTCTCCCCCTTGCCCTTCTGAACCCGCAGGTTGTCAAGAAGTAAACCCCCCAGGTTGTCAAGAAGTAAAAGTGATGGCTGCTGTTGGCGAGACGGTTCAGCTGCAGCCCAAGACATGGCCGTCATCCTGGGTGGCAATCAACTGGAAAGTGAAACTGCGTTTAGAGGGCTACTGGATCCTCAGACACGATCAGAACAGGACCTCGGCCAATCCATTACTGACCTTTGCTGACAGAGTCTCTTTCCACCCTGGGAATCTCTCGCTGCAGATTAACTCAGTCACGGAGGAAGAACGT